TGGTTCCTGCTGGGTTGGTACGCTCACTGCCAGACATCCCTCCCTGTTGGTGATCCTTTTTGGCCAGCTATCTGATCTTGAGTAGTATTGAGAGAAGACACCTGATGATGAAGGTCTATAGCTTGTTCAAAGTGCCCTTCGTGGAGCGGCGACAAGTCTCTGATTCGTATAGTAGCACTGACTTCATACTGGAGTTGAAAACCTGGATCTTATTTTTCATACTGAGTTCTGCTGACCTCCACACAGACTTGAGAGAAATGAAAGCTTGCCTTGCTTTCTCGATCCTTGCTTTGATATCCTCATCAGTTCTGTCTGCCTATAGTTGAAACGATGCTTCCCAGGTAGGTGGGTAGGTGAAGGAGGTTGCTCCTTTTAGATTTCTCCCATTGATACTCATTGTTGTCTGTTGTTGCTGATTTTGCTGTTGGTGTTGGCCAGGAATCTTTATCACCACATTTGTCTTCTCTATGTTCACCTAGAGTCATATCTTCTCTGGATGTTTCTTCTGCCAACTTGTTAATTTTCACTTGCATATCTTCCAGTTTGTGGGAAATCTGACATATATCATCGGCGAAATGCAGACCCTCCAAGTTTTTTGTGTGGATCAACTTTATACCAGTCACCTCGTTGCCCGCTGTCTGTCGCATTACCCAGTATACTGCCCACAATCAGGAAAATCTTTGGAGATAGTAGGCAGCCAGCCAGCTTTGTCTTACTCCCGTCTTCACTTCGAAGGATTCCGTGAGTTTTCCGTTGTGGATTACTTGGCCTGCAGCATTGTTGTACAACAGTTGGATGAGGTGTATAACTGTTGGCTGCACCCCGTAGTAGCTGAGTAGCTTCCAGATCACCTATTGATCGACGCTGAGCTGTCGAAGACCTTTTCATAGTCAATAAAGTTGAGGTAGAGGTAGAGAGCTGACTGTCATTTCAAGCTCTGTTCAATGATCAACCGTAGTGTTGCGATTCGATCGATACATGACTTGTTCCTCCTGAATCTAGCCTATTCCAGTCAAAGTTTTCCATCCAGGTAGGCGTGTTTGATTCTATCCAGGATGACGTGGCTTAGTATTTTGCTTGGGTTAGACAGGAGCATAATGTCGGGCCAGTTCTTGCATTGACTTAAGTCTCCTTTCTTTGGCAGTTTGAATGAGTAGCCTTTCTTCCAGTTTGCAGGTAACTCGCCCTCATTCCACACCTTCTCCAGTAGTGATGTCATCAAGTTCGCTGCTTTCTTTATTAACAAAAATTAAATATCTACTGCCTTCAGGAAATCCAAATGCCTTCAATCAACACACTATTATAGGCTAAAAGTATTTCTGAGCAACCGTGGCCTAAACAGTTAAGCAAACAAAACAAAAATTTCATTTTTTTAGATAAGTGGAGATTATTTTAAGTAATTTTTTAATCATTGAATCTAACTCGAGGCTCAAATCATTCCAGGAATTTGAATATAGCAAGAACAACAACAGTGGTTTGTGCAGAATGACTTCTCGCAGCTGCTGCTAACAGCCTGAACAGAAAAGTTTCAACATCCATGCGAATTTTTCGTGATGTCAGTTGACAGAAAGTTCCGCAGTCAATGAACAGGGCTCAGAAATTTGCGCTTATACAGTTTTTACACAGGTAGTTCAAGTTTACACAAAGTAAATAAATGCATGCATACAATAGGAAAGGAGTTGCGTAATAAAGACGAGAGATGCGTAAGATGCTGAGTGACTAATATATTTGTTAACAATGTACTGAGTTCAACTGAAATCATAGAAACAAGAGACAAGCAAAGGCACACTATATCAAAGGGGGATTGATGGTTAAAGTCAAAGGTTACGTAATCAAATGTAGGCGAGAGAGAATAAAGACATCCAGTTGCCAGACAAGGCAAGGAAAGACTGATAACTGCTTCTTTCTGAACACATAAATCTGGTTTCAAGGGTTTGATAGCAGCAGTTGCTTCGGCAAACATGAGGAGAATTGGCCTCTTTTGTCTACTGGTAATTTTAAAGGAAACTTACAAAATCTCTGGTCTAGACATCTATACGTGTCAATTATAAAGTTTAACATTGCGGCATGACAATTTAGTTTATCAGCAAATAAAGTGGTAGTTTGACGACTGTATACAATGATCATATGACAGTTACAGTGATGACATAACTGACGATTACCATGGTAATAACAAGTAAACATTTTACTTTGATACATAATGCCTTATTGAAAAGAAACTCAAATTATGGTTTAGTTATTTCAGTTATTCTGTTGCTATGGCTATATTGGTAAGACAAAAATCATTATATCATGTGGCGATATGTCTGTGAATTAGGACACACACATAAATACTCCTATTACGAATGTCTTGGTGATGCCTGGTGGTCAAAATGATGTTTTTTTAGATTATGGTAACTTCCAGTGGGATCAGGGAATTGCGCTTTGCCATACTGAACATCCAATGTGTGGTATTGTGTCTTCATTTGAGAGTGGATCTAAGCAGCTATTGTTTCAAACATCAAGTCACTATCAACTGGGTCACTGCACTAAAGGAAACGCAAAACAACTAAAATGAGCGGTAATACCCATAACATAAGTGGTGGGCCCTTGTAGCCCGATGGCGTAGGGAATACCACACTGGTGCTTGAAAGGAAGCGTAATGGGGATGCAGTTATTTTCAGCTGAGATTTTGAAATATGATAAAATATCTGTCCTTGATCTCATTGCTGGCTAACAGCAATCATTTTTTCGTGTTCCGAGTCGAACATAGGGCATTAAACTTGGCCCATGAAGTTTCAATGGCACTGGTGTTGTTCATTTTTACGGGGTAAGTTTGCTAGCCTCACTCACACCCAGCCTTCCGTTTTTACTGGGCTTACGATCAAATAAGCAAGGTTTAAGAGTGAATCACCCGGAGATCGGACGTCGGACCATCTGTGGAGTGGTTGGCGATCAGAATTACTGTTGAACCACCAACGCATTATCAACTAAGTAACCCTGTATAAATTGATTGTCAGTTTTCTGGTCTAAACTCACTGACCGATTGTGTGTGGTGAGAGCTGTCCGCTAGCCGAAATTGGTAGACAGCAATTTACGTCAATTTTTACGTCCCAAATCGGGGTCATAAGAAAAAACTAGAGCAAAGCCTAGCCTTAAGGAACTCAACAACCAATCACAGTAGACTTAACGTGGGCGGACATGTTTCGCAGATATATCAACGGACTGTCTAAGAAATGGCCATAAAGAGATGACAAAATGACCTTCAGCAGGAAAACAACCAATAAGAAGATGTTGCTTCTGTACCAACAATAACGAATAATAATGTACATAAAAATCCATAAATATCTGTTGAGAATCCAGGATGCGCGTCCTTTCATTATTCTGTACTTATAAGCTAGGCAAATTTACATACCACAGCGATTGATAGCATCCGAAATGAGAGCTGAGTAAAGCTTTCATCGTTTTCAGCTCCAATTCACATTTTATCTTTCAAGTTATCTTTTCCCCTGAAATCGTGATCAATCTCCTCGAATTAATTTTATTGAGTAATCTGTATAACTGAATGATGGGAACTGAAAGATTCGTGAAAGGATAAGTGATATTCGTCAATGGTTTTATCGGGTATTCGCTACTAGCATCAGCATGCACCTGTGTCGAGTTTTGATCTGCGATAAAACATTCCTGTAATAATCATCAGCTGTAAGATATCCACAAACTTGTGTCAGATGACAACAAAACCTAACTAACTAAATAGATAATTGAGTGCACTGTAGCGGTGGAGTATAAATCCATTATGAGTCAAATTTATTTTGATAGAGTCCCACAGAGTGTTATACAGTAATATTTACTGATGACCACGTCTCGAGTACCTCAGTTTATTACTGCAGCTCATAATCACATCAAGACACTACTCACACAACTTTCTAACTTCGTTTACATAATTCCATTATTTCTCATCGCTTCCTATGATTCGTAGTGGTAGTATTTTGCATATTTCCGGTATGAGGGATGAGTCATTCTTATTGCACGTGTTGGGTATAGACTGGATGAACAAGGATTCAATAATCAACCTCTCTCTCCTCACCTACCTCTATCACTTCTCATTGCTCTAAATGCATTTAATCCTACTCCAAAAATATGTGGAGATGTGTGGATAACACTCACTCACAGTGTTATAACATATCTCTCTCTAGCTTCTTCCCACATATAAATTCACAACTAGAGGGAATAAAATTCACATTTGAATCAGAAAATGAACAAGGAGAATTACCCATGGTGTTAGATTGTAAAATAAAACCAACAGAAGGAGGTAAAATGCATACTAGCGTTTAGAAACAGCCAACGCATTCTGCTAATAGATATTTAGACTTCAATTCATCACACCTGTTATCTATCTGTAGAGGCTGGCTTAGTTAAATGTCTGACAAACCGAGCAGTAGCACTAAGTAGTACAAGAAAAGACCTGAATGACGAAATGAAACAGATAGAAGAATAGTTGGTTGGTGTTAAATAACTAACTATCCTATAAAATTCATTAGGAAGATCGGAAAAGGCCGAAGACAAAATAAAAATAATGGTGAAACTAATTTTGATAACATAAATAAGGGAGAATATACAGCAACTACTGTTATACCATAAATGGGAATAAGTAAATGAAGTTTTTGAAAAATTGCCTCCCCTCAGAATCTTGCAACTTTCATTATTAGAAGTTAATTCGTGGATGGTGACTAGCAGTGGAATCCAGGATAAAGCGCATTTTGCCCTATTTGGACTGCCTTGTCAGCTAGGTGTACCTGCAATCCTCAGTCGGTGAGTGATGATATTGTCACCACTGAGACACACCCAGTGCACATAGATTCAAACACCAAAGCAGTTTATCCACTAGACCACTTGAGTCACGAGATCCGTTGCCTCTTGTGCCACAGGTCATAATGATTATTTAATTCAATTTCAGATTTTCCCGTCGATTAATTGCTCAGCAATTTTTTAAAATTATTTTATTTATTTTTTTCTTTCAGAAATGCAAAACAACATTATTTCATGCGTTGTGGTAGTCTATTTATCAGTTGCAGCTTCTGTATTGATCGGGGCGTTTTCAACTTTATTTCGCGCAGTACCTGCAGCTATGGTAACAGGTGTATTGTATGTTACATCTGGTAAGTTGAATAGTAGTCAGAGACAAAGTGTTGACTACTGTTTGTTTGTTTTTTTCTCTGTCACGGTAATATATGCTACATATTCATGCTTTGTTTTACTTGTCAAAAGTGTATATACAAGCATATTATAGACGTCAGGGGGGGGCTTAGTAACGTTGACAACCAGAATAATAAAAAGTGTTCTGTAAGGACACTCATATTTATTCAGGAGTACACAAAACTAAAATGAGACAGCTATTTCGTCTCTGTTTGTTTGTTTGCATGATTGCATAACTTGCCTAATGGATAATGACAATTCTGAGTAAAACTCAACTGCTTTTAGGACATATAATCTATTCTTAGAATAAAGGAAAATGACTGGAGCTTGTATAATTAGGCCTATTTATTCATGGTGTGTAAATAGACTGAAATTTATCCGACACCCTAAAGAAGATCGTTTGCTGGAAGATGCGTCGATATTAATTACCATATTGGATTCACCTTTTACCAGCATTTCATCCATACACACTGATTTTATGTTCATCCTGTAGATAATCGCAATCTGTCTCAATGTAGATTATTCACTAATGTTCCGTTTTACATCCTTTTGCTTTCTGTTGCCCTAAAATTGAGTTATTTCGTTTGCCAGTTAGTCACTTCACAACATGCAGTTAACTACTAGTAATTCGGGTGAATAGAGTACGATTAGAGTTGATATTAGTAAGGCTTTCGAATAACTCATAAAACGTATAGTGTAAGATACTTTCAGAGTTCGTGGTCAGTACTGATGTCCAGAAGTGGCAGCCCTCGAACAGGAATGTTGACTGACTTTGTGTGGGGAGAATATCGCAGTAGGCTCCTATAATTAAGGCACTAAAATCAAACTTCAAACAGTGTGCGGATGGAACTTATAGTTTAAAAGTCTTTCGTCTTCTTCGTTAATGTTAAATCCGTATAGTTAATGCACCTCCTGTTCCAGGTAGTTGAACCCCGAGTGTCTTCTTGCAGGGTAAGAAAACAAGAAAATAACTAGTTACAGGATTTCACCATTAACTGACATCAGTTAGAGAACCATCAGAAAACCAACAGTAAGTACTAGACAGCCAGATGTTTCGTCAGTCTACTTTGGGAATCTTCATCAGTACGCACCCACCTCCAGGGTTCGAACCCGTGACTTCCTAGTTACAGGATGAACTCGTAGACCATTAGGCCATTGTAAGCCTATCCAGTGGCCCAGTAGCGTACAGCAGGTTGGGTGTGAAGACAGATAAACGCTAAGGACATTTGCTAGTGGTCGTAGTATGTCGTGAATTGGCAGAATCTGAAATTTGTGGACCACCGGATTAGTTCCCAGTGGCTTAATCATCTACGAGTTCGCGTAGCAACCGGAAGTTTCTGGGTTCGAACCCTGGCGTTGAGTGAACGCTGTTGAAGAGTCCGAAACTAGACTGACGAAACAGCTGTCTTTTACTCCAATTATGGTTTTCCAATGGTTCTCTAAATGATATCAATCCGCGGTGTAACCTGAAGGAACCACAAATAGTCGTCTTTTTCTTGTCTTTGGAGTTTTTTGTGACCGTGTTTGTCTCACTGAAGTTTTAAACACATATAAAATAGGACGCAGAGATCGGTTCCTTGCGTTTAGACCACAACGAGTCCGTTTTGGTCGTTCCAGCGACTATTTGCTCGATGATTACATCACCTCAATCTACCTAGCGAGGAGTTTCACTCGACATGAGGGGTTTCCAGTCATGCAAACATCAGTTAATAGCATCGGGGATTAGAGGTTCTTCTTCTATAAAGTGTAGGATAATTAGTCAATGTCTTATGCTTATCGTTTCAATGATATCAAGAGAAGAGAAGATTTATAATCGCTTTCTGTTAAATCATTCATAATATAAACAGTTAATCTAAAAATAGATTTACTTATGGACAGTAAACAATGTTACGCCCATTCTCATTGTTAACATAAATAACTATATATATATGTATATATATATATATATATTATTTATAGTAGTCAGTTAGCAAAAGTTGCTCAATACAGTGAGGGATGAGAAACAAAAACCCTGAGTAAACAGAGGGCGTTATACAGATTAAATATTGAAGGCGAGATATGGGGACAATTTGAAACTATAAAAACTCCATTAATGAGGACAGAATGTATTAGAACTCGAATTCTGGATAAGCTATTGGATATTTGTTTTGACTGATTAAAAATGCCCATTAAAATTTTCAAGAGAATGAACAATGAACAAAGAGTACTTTTTTCGATAAATTCATCATCAGGCTCTACAGTTATATATACATTATAATGAATGAATGAATGAATCAGTCTTATGAACAACATTAATGTTTGTTCAAATAACATCAAATCAATAATGATGATAGATTACAGCTGAACAGCGTCAACATAAATTAAGCTGAATATCAGAAAAATTAGGAAAGATAATATTACAAATTCATGAATTTATAGTTTCTACTGAAGGCCGGCCAGGGCAGTAGTAGGGGCTGGACCTGTTTCTTTTGAACACAGAGCACCGGTTGTTTGAGGCGAATTGCAATAGCCTCTGCTGTTTGGAGCACGTGGTGCTTCGACGATTTTGATAATTTATTAGGCACCTGGTATATTATAGAGAAGGATTCTTCTACGCTGACTTTGTGACCGGTTTGCACCAGATGGTCCAATATCGAACCGTTAATGGTTTTAACTACACCTTTACTTAGCCATTGTGTAAGATGTTCTCGAGTGATCACGAAAAATCAAGTTCCTAGAGCAACTGCCAATATAACTCGCTCCACCACAAGTGCAGTTGAATTGATAAATGCAATTTGAAGTGGCCAGTCTAGGTACTTCATCTTTCAGTCGAGATAGCACCATCGGTCGTGTAGAGAATAATACGTGTAGTTCGCCAGCATTAAGTTCTTTGGACTGATTTTCTTAATTTACTCGTAATTATCTCGGCTTTATATATACGACTACAATTCATGGGCGATATACCAAGCGAGATAATTACGAGTAAATTAAGAAAAGCAGTTCAAAGGACTTTTAATGCTGGCAAACTACACGTATTATTCTCTACACGACCGATGGTGCTATCTCGACTGAAAGATGAAGTACCTAGACTGGCCACTTCAAATTGCATTTATCAATTCAACTGCACTTGTGGTGGAGCGAGTTATATTGGCAGTTGCTCTAGGAACTTGATTTTTCGTGATCACTCGAGAACATCTTACACAATGGCTAAGTAAAGGTGTAGTTAAAACCATTAACGGTTCGATATTGGACCATCTGGTGCAAACCGGTCACAAAGTCAGCGTAGAAGAATCCTTCTCTATAATATACCAGGTGCCTAATAAATTATCAAAATCGTCGAAGCACCACGTGCTCCAAACAGCAGAGGCTATTGCAATTCGCCTCAAACAACCGGTGCTCTGTGTTCAAAAGAAACAGGTCCAGCCCCTACTACTGCCCTGGCCGGCCTTCAGTAGAAACTATAAATTCATGAATTTGTAATATTATCTTTCCTAATTTTTCTGATATTCAGCTTAATTTATGTTGACGCTGTTCAGCTGTAATCTATCATCATTATTGATTTGATGTTATTTGAACAAACATTAATGTTGTTCATAAGACTGATTCATTCATTCATTCATTATAATGTATATATAACTGTAGAGCCTGATGATGAATTTATCGAAAAAAGTACTCTTTGTTCATTGTTCATTCTCTTGAATATTTGTTTTGATTGAATACAAGTCAGTAACTAGTGTAGTGTGTGTGCTTCTAGTCCTATCTTCGGTGCAGACTGAATTCTATCAGTCAGCGGAGTTTGCAATGTGGCCACCACGCCACTAGGTGCACGAAAGCTAGGTCCAGCCAAGGCTTCCTGTGGCCGATTGCCTCCAACCATCTAATACCAACAATTCACAGAGCACCGTGTTGACTAAGATGCCATACAAAAATTCAGAAAACAAAAAACAAAAAAGCAAAATAAGGCCGTATTAACAAAGTCGTAGGACTTGGAATTATACTCAAGGTAGAAGGAGGGGGTGGAGAATTGTCTTCTGCGCACATAAATTAGCGTTGCCCAACCAGATCGCTTAGGCCTCAGCAATGCAAAGTATACGGAAGCTTACCGTTTTCGGGAAACTTCTATTAACTTTGTAGATGACTTTAAAAATTAATTCTCTGTACATATTGAGTGAGGACAAGTGTTGAATATATGTTCAATTTTAGCACTCTTTATTGATCCCCTGTTACCTTTCTCGTATTCAAGCGGACTAATGTACTTTGACTCCCTTTAGATAAAATACGCATCCAACGACCTTTACCTCTCGCTCACTCCACATGAGCAAGTTAAATAGATGGAGCTACCAAACGACAAGCAACATGGTTGATTTTAGACTTCAAACCATAGTCATAATATTTACAACCCTTAGGTATTATTATATTAAAATGGCTGTAATACTGGGTTATGCAAAAAGTCACCAGAGATTCGTCAATATTGGGTGAGGTAATTTAGCAACCTTCTACATTCAGTTATGATTGTATCAGAATGTGCTTTGAAATACAGGGGCTATACAAATAGTGATAGGTCTAAGTAAATGAGTGTTGTCCATCTTGAATATTGTGTCTATAGGTTTTCTGCTTCGCTCTAGACATTATGTCTCCAGACTACGTACTCGTACTGATACTGTAACGCTGGAAAACCAAAGACTTTGTCATTCGGTGTCTCTATGTAGCAAATTTATATACACCTTATCTCCTAAAATCAGCATTTGCACAGATCTTCCGTGTTCTGCTACTTCTGCCTTCCCTTTGTATTCTCTTTATTCGTGTTCCTTTCACGTCAGTCCATGTATCCCCGCAGGAAACGCTACACCGCTTGCTTTTTCTGACATCAAATCTGTCTCCCCGCTATTTGATATTATTTTTACGCTGATGAACGTCTCTTTATATATGTACTACTGATAAATCTTATCAGTAGCACACGACACACTCTTCCTCCTATCACATA